ATACTTTCTCACCATTCCCACCATGGGATGGTAATTATGGTGGGATGACACAGCCGCCAATGTCATACATGAGCTTGTTAGGCAGTCCACAAGGTTTGATGTTTCCCACAGCCAGTTCTCAAAGTAGTGGACCTAATCAATTTTCACCGAACACTGGTGATTCAGGTGGAAAGGATATTCATGACGTTGATGGTGCGGAGCACACTTCGCCATTGAAAAGAGGGAAAAGATTAGCACACAAAAAAAAAGTTCCGTGTACCAGGTTGAACTCAAGAGGCGTGGCTAATAAGTTTTGGCTTCCAGAGCACGATGATGTGCTTATTCCTTATCTTGCAGATTTAGCATTGGATGGCATGAAGCCAGACAAGAATTTCAAGGCTGAAGCTTATAAAATGGCTACCATGAAAATCAACATGCAATTCAGGACTGATTTCACTCACCTGCATGTCATTAACCACTTGAAATGTTTGCGGAACAAATTCAATGACATGAAAGCTTGCCTTGATATAAGTGGTGCTGGGTGGGATGAAACAAGTAAAATGATTACATTGGATGAGGAAACCTTGAAATCTTGGGCCCAGGTATAACAAATTCAGCATCTATCTTGTCACATTCAATTTAATACATTTGATTCTCTGGATTTATAAGTATTTATTATTGCAGGACAAATCCAATTCTAAGTACAAAGCATACATAAACAAACCCCTTCCTCACTTCAAAAATTTACAAGTTATCATGGGTGATGATCAAGCCAAGGGTGATTTTGTTAGGCCCGTGTACGCTAACATTGGGTCTAGTAGGTCTATACCTATTCCCGATGATGATTGCGAGATTCTAGAGGAGAGTGAAACTAAACCACAGTCTGATGCTTGCAACCAACCACGTTCTGGTGCTGTTAACCAACCACAACTCACTAGATATAAGACTAAGAGTAAAGACAACGTGACTTCATCATCTAACAAAAAACCAGAAAATCTAATCGTGAAGAGGAAATGCTATGTGCCTTTGTTGAGTCCATGTCTCAGTCAATGAGAAATCAACATGTTATACACTGGACTGAGCAGTTGGCTGCAGCGTTGAAGGAACATAGGTTTGAATATTTCAAGAAGTTCCTCGATAGGGTTTTAGATCATTTATATGACAATGAACGTGAAGCTAGGAGGTTTTTCATAAAATCCAAGGAAGGTCAACAGAGGTACATCACAAAATTAGTTAACGACCAAGGTTGGCCGGATAGCTAGTTTGTTGGGTTTCGCTTATATTTTGATGGATATTGTTGTGTTAATTGCAAACTATTAATGTTGCAAAATGTATTTTCATTATGAAGAACATCTATGTCGTTGTGGGATTGATGAATTGGTATATTTGCAATCTTTGTTGCAGGTAAGGTCGTGGAATGATCATTGATTTCTTTGAATTTTCCGATTATATTTTGATATCAGGTAAGCTTTCTGCAGCTCATGCTGATGCTGCTGTTTGGGTGAGCTCATGTTTTGAGCTTTCTGCAACTCATGCTGCTGCTGGTTGCTGGTGGGTGCCTGTTTTGAGTTTTCTGCAGCAGTTGCTGCTGCTGGTTGTGTTTTGAGCTTTGTGCAGCTCATGCTGCTGCTGCTGGTTGGTTTGTGCCTGTTTTGAGCTTGTGTGCAGCTTGTGTGCAGCTCATGCTGCTGTTGCTGGTTGGTTTGTGCCTGTTTTTTGCTTTGTGCAGCTCATGTTGCTGCTGCTGGTTGGTTTGTGCCTGTTTTGAGCTTTGTGCAGCTCATGTTGCTGCTGGTGGTTGATTTGTGCCTGTTTTTTGCTTGTGTGCAGCTCATGCTGCTGCTGCTGGTTGGTTTGTGCCTGTTTTTTGCTTGTGTGCAGCTCATGCTGCTGCTGCTGGTTGGTTTGTGCCTGTTTTTTGGTGCAGCTCATGCTGCTGCTGGTGGTTGGTTCGTGCCTGTTTTGAGCTTGTGTGCAGCTCATGCTGCTGGTGATGGTTGGTTTGTGCCTGTTTTTTGCTTTGTGCAGCTCATGCTGCTGCTGCTGGTTGGTTTGTGCCTGTTTTGTGCAGCTCATGCTGCTGCTGCTGGTTGGTTTGTGCCTGTTTTGAGCTTTGTGCAGCTCATGCTGCTACTGCTGGTTGGTTTGTGCCTGTTTTGAGCTTGTGTAGCTCATGCTGGTGCTGGGTTTTGTTGCTTGACTGTTTTGAGCTTTGTTGGGTTTGTGCCTGTTATTTAACAATTTGTGCAGCTCCTGCTGCTGCTGGGGTTTGTTGCTGAAATGTTTTGAGCTTGTGTAGCTCCAATACAGTATAGGTTTGTGCCTGATAATTGGAGCTTGTGTTTTCAGGCTGCTGCTGGGGTTGTGCCTTTTGATTTCAGCTTGTGCAGCATTTGCTGCAGCTGGGGTTTGGTGCTGTTTTGTTAAGAGCTTGTGTAGTTCGTGATTGCATTTTGTGTTGCTGCTTTGGTTTTCCTTGCCTGTGGGTTACTTGTTTTGGTTTGCCTTGCCTGTGGTTTTCCTTGCACTTGATATGTGGCAATGATGATGATCAACGTTTTCTGAGAATGCAATCTAACTTACATCGTTTATTATATCCAGATGAGGCAAAAGGGGATGAGATTGCAGCCTACATTGAATTGACAATGTCTAGGCGAGGCAATTCATCCTTATAATGCAATCAGTAATAAACATGTTTAAGTTATAGGTGGGGCAATCAATAATGACAAGTTGATCTATTACTGAGCCATACAATATCAATTAGAATTTGTACCCAGTTCAAACAACAGTTTTCATTACACCCTCAGTAGTTTTTGCAAGTACAGGTACATGACATGAAGTTTGTAATAATTAAAATAACACAAAAAATTGCTAAGAAAATTACAGAAATTTTCCAAACTAGTAGTTGATTTTCGACAAGTCTCAAATCTTTCTTCAGTTTCTTTGATTGCAAAATATATTTTTCTCCGTACCTATTTTCTTTGACATATTGGCTTCCTTGGTTGCTTGATGACTCTCCTCTTTCTTCAGCTCATTCGAAAAAATTACATTCTTTATTTGGGAATTTTGCACACCCCCAATAACACATACCCTTATTTTTACCATTCTTGCACACTTTCATCGGTGTTCGGAGATGGCAGTCGCAATAAACTTCATAATTCTGCCAGCAATCTTCTGATATCATGGTCATGTCGAGGCAGCAAATTGAAGACAATGGGAATTTTATAAATGCTGAAAATGAGAATGCTTGGATTAATTGTGAGGCCACAAGGTGAATTTATAGCCACCATGGCCCTCTACTAGCCGTTGCTACAGTATTCTGACTATGATTTTTGAAATCTGCAGTTTGAGGCTGAAAATAGTCGTTGCTACAGTGATTCCAGCAATAAATGTGAAATTATGGTTGCTTCTAGCCGTTGCTACAGTAAGTTTTTAAATGTTAAAGAGGCTAGCTGTTGCTACAGTATCTATTCCCAAAAAAAGGGTCTTTTTGAAGCAAACATGGTATTAGGAATTGGACCAATTCTATAAAAGTGAGATTCCTAATTCTTTGGGTGAAACAAACGTAGAATGCCAAAAAAATAGGATTCCATAAAACTAAAACTTGTCTATAAAAATTTTATGGATTAGGTTGGAATCCATAAATAAAATAGGAGTCCTAATCCTATTCCTACCCTCTATTGAACCAAACAGGCCCAAAGTCTATTATCACACTTGTTACCACACAGAAATCGGTAAATGTTAACTCTAAGTATCAAATCAACTGTACCCTAGGCAAAATGACTCCAGCAACATTGACACTCACCCCTTCCTAAGAAGGACCGTGTCAAAAAACGTCCTCACTCGAAACCACTATTTGAGTCAGACTCTATTTCTCTACACCCTATGAGGTTGAGTCGAGAACTTTCGAATCAAATATAGCCGAATAAAAATGTGGTACTTATCGGCCAACTTGCAAGACCGAAACAAAAGGTGTCATTTGTCGACTCTCTTACAGAGCCAAGTCGAAAGGCGGTTTGTCCTGGAATCCCCATCAACAGTCGATCACCATCACATTGAATGCTTCGTCAAAATCATTATTGTTCCATCACCAAAAATCTTTATGACTCATCGGACCTCATCAGCACCATGCATTTCTCGTCACCATCACATTAAACACATAGATGACTTATTACCTCTGCAGTCGACGCCTGTAAAGTATCTACCAACTGAGTCGCCTGCTCGGACTCGACCAAAATTACACAAATAACCCCCAGAATCTGCTATAAAGAGTGTCTACTGCAAAGGGTAAGCAATTTCTTACTACTGAACACACTTTAACCATACTTCCTCTCCACTCAAGCTCATTACTGACTTGATCGTCGAAGGAACTATAGAAGATCCCAACTCCAACCTTCTCACGTGTTGTTTATGTGCAAGAATGAATTCTCTGCCCATTAGCCCAGTCTAAAGAAGATTAATGAACTCTGATACACTGAGAAATCCACAATTAATCCTATGTTTGATAACTGACATCAACAACAGTAAACCTAAGAAACATAAAAAACAACATGAACCTAAAACCAGCTCTGAATGAACATGGTCGAGAAAAAAAACAATCTCAAACCTTGAAGTTGAAGCTCAAAATCAGAACCCAACAGAATAAAGTACAAAAAGATTATATATATATATATATATATATATAATATATATATATATATACTATATATATATATATATATATATATATATATATATTATATAATATGAGGAATATGGGTATACTGGGCCAAGGATCCTTGGTAGTGATGTGGACACATCTTGTCGCATACATGCACACCTTGGAGTTGGTGAGGCTCCTCTTCAAGGTGTGATGTATGGACAAGATGTGTCCACATCACTAGCCAAAGGATCCTTGGTACCAAGTATACCCATTTTTTCTCTGCTCTCTCTCTCTCTCTCATCTCTCTCTCTCTCCTCCTATATATATATATCATATATATATATATATATATATATATATATCATATAGTGTTAATTCCTGCAAACCCCATGATTTTTTTTTGGTACAAATTTAAACTTTTGACCATATAATTTTCTAAATTTTTGCTTATTATTACCATATATATATCCACATTAAATCTTGCCTATTCGCAGAGGTTAACAGTTGCCTGCTTCATCATATAAACACTTTCGAAGCTCAGCCACATAGGTTCCAGATTGTAGCTCAGCTGGCCGGCGCATATTGAAAACGTATGAAATAGGTGCACAGGCTTGCATTGGTCTTGTGATGCCAATTGGATCCACGAACTTCCCGAATGTGAATTCATCGAATGGAAATGATTGACCAAGGAAAAAGAAACATTCCCTTGCCAATCTCTCTACCTGAAAGACACCATCCAAGATTTACGTACAGGTTATACAAGAATCAAAAACCTCAAATATTATAAAAGTTCATTATAGTAAATCCTCTTAAATCAATGTACCCCCATTCAATTTGCAACAATTTCATCGCCGATGACAGCTTTCTGGAAGTGAAAGTGGTCAGTGAAAAGAGACTTCATAGCTCCTCCTTACTTAAAGATAGACATCTCATCCATAGAAAGAAAAATGGATGAGTATTAGAATTTAATACGTCTTATCCGGTGGATCATTGTCATAGAAAAAATACCCTTTCATTAACAAAATTTACTAGGTCATTTGATGTGTGGGGTAGGTTGCAAAATTAATCTTTTTTCTGGATGTACATGGTATGTATAGATCTTCATGTAACTTCGTGCATCTTCATTCAGGTTGTGAGCTATGTATTTGGCAACAGTATACAGATGCAAATGAAGTAAAGAGTTCATCCATCAACTTCCTACTAAAACATATCAAAATGACAATGTTCATACGAAATCAGAAGGCCTCAGGTATTTATTTCATGGAATAAGTCTTTGTATTCTAGTTTTCATGAAGATTACTCTTCCTTAACTGCTACTATCCTCAATT